ATATATTATATTAATGCGAATACTTAGCATTTAATATCATAGAAAAAAAAAATCAACGACAGCCATCTTCGATTTTCTCAAAGTGAGTATTAAAAGAAAAATTTCTCTCTATGAAATAAATTTTCTGCGTTCCACCACACCTTCCCTCGTCAAAGTTACACAGCGTCGCCCGTGCCTGAAAATGACATAGATTAATGTGTGCAAACACTTTTTCTCCGATTTTCCAAATGCTTCCATTGCATCCAGATCGTGTGCAAGTCAGTGTAACAATTGCTAGTGGCAAGAGAAATAGAGTGCAGGGCGGGGTTGATTTAAACACAATATATTTTATTGTTTCTTTTTACCTAAATCTACTAAGTTGACTTAAAAGAGTAAATAAATACAAATGTGAAATCACGCAAAACGAAAACGTATTTAAAACTATAGAGGGAGCTCTTTGTTTGTAAAGACTACTCACCCGTTAATGAAATATAACCCGTAGAATAATTTTAGTCTCTTTTATTTCAAAATATAACTTGACGAACTTGAGATGAAATAGCATAATAAAAACTGTTCATAAAATCAGTAGTTTAACAATCATAAACAATCCCTCCTCTATTATAACACTAAAATTCAGGGTTCGAGTAACTTATTTAGCTTTGCACCAAAACAAGCCTTCTAGAATAATAACCAGTACATGTTGATGAAAGTCCACTAGAAATGTGTCAACTAAACTAGAATTTCTTTCGAGTTTTGTTACCGTCTGTAAATGTAACAACTGTGAATTTGTCATCAACACTGTTAAACGCCTGGAATCATCAAGCTACGTCTGTAAATGTAACAACTGTGAATTTGTCATCAACACTGTTAAACGCCTGGAATCATCAAGCTACGTCTGTAAATTTGCTTGGTGATTCCAGCGGTTTAACAGTGTTGATGACAAATTCACAGTTGTTACGTTTACAGACGTAGCTTGATGATTCCATGCGTTTAACAGTGTTTATGACAAATTCACAATTGTTAGATTTACAGACGTAGCTTCATGATTCCAGGCGTTTAACAGTGTTGATGACAAATTCACAGTTGTTACATTTACAGACGTAGCTTGATGATTCCAGGCGTTTAACAGTGTTGATGACAAATTCACAGTTGTTACATTTACAGACGTAAGTTTATTTCAGATCCTAAGCAATGTTTGTTCCAAATTGTGATAAAACAAATTATGGAAATCACTTCCACTTCTTAGTTAGTCATTCTCTTAGAGTATTTGAAAGACTTTTTTTTTCAATTTGGTTATATTTCCGAAACTGTAAACCTAATGTCGATAAAATGTGAAATAAAGAGTTACGGTTTTATATTGTTAGGGACCTCCTAAATCATTTTAAAGATCAAATTATATTATTTTTGTTTGTTTGCTTTCGAAAATTGGCTCATTGCAACTCAAAAGCTATCTTCGTTAGCCAACCTTAATTATAAACTTATAGACTAAGGAGAAGGCAGCTAGTCAAAAGCACCCACTACCAACTCCAACTTTGAGCTTCTCTTGCTAACCAAAAACGAGGGAGCTGACAGTCACCTTTATAATGCATTTACAGCTCTAAAGTGCGGAGGGTAACGAGCAAAATAAACTCACAGATCCATAGCCTAGTGAGCTAGCCATTGGCCACGCTTGGCATAGATTATTGGCAAATAAAACAAGAACAGATTTACAATGATTTATTCGATAACCAACGGCATAGGTTATTTTTTTCTTAAGTAATTAAAAACACAACTGTGATGGGTAATTCGCTCAGTTATCTGTAAATATAATTGTGGTAAAAGACGAATAAAACGTATTTTGGAATATAAATAAATAAAAGTATTGTAATACTTAATAGTTTCGTTTTGAGTTTACTTGCTATAATTATATTATATTACAAGTTACAGATTTTTCAGTAAGTTTGTTTGAATTATGCACAAAGCTACACAAGGGCTATCTGTGCTCTGCCCACCACGGGTATCGAAACCCGGTTTTTAGCGTTGAAAGTCCGTAGACATACCGCTGTGCCACTGGGGGGCTTTTCAGTAAGTAAGATTTGTTTTAGAACAGGTACGACGTTTCGATCGTTGGTGCGATCGAAACGTCGTACCTGTTCTAAAACAAATCTTACTTACTGTAAATCCCCGTCCCACCAAACATGCTCGCCCTTTCAGCCGTGGAGGCGTTATAATGTGACGGTCACCAACGAATAGTGGGATTAAAAGAGTAGCCCAAGAGTTGGCGTTGGGTGGTGATGACTAGCTGCCTTCCCTCTAGTCTTACACTGCTAAATTAGGGACGGCTAGCGCAGATAGCCCTCGTGTAGCTTTGCGCGAAATTCAAAACAGACAAACAAACAAACAATGGAAGGATACTATGAAGTTTACTCAGTGTGTAAATTTTAAGTGTAAGTGGGTTGTGATCTATACTACATTAACAATACTGTGCAAGGTGTGGAGAAAGGAAATTAACACGAGACAACTGAAACTTTATTTAGCGTTTCGGGAAGATGCTGTTCATAAGGTAAGGCTGCCATACAGCAATGCTAGATTAGACATACAGTCGCTGTGAAAAAACAGTAACAGGAATAACTCTAACTATAAGCTGACAGTACAGTCTAAAA